ATAGAGTTACCAGACACATACTATCAAGTAAGGATAGTTAAAAATCTTAAAGACATGAGGAATTTAAAGTGTGGACACCTGTGATTTCTTTTCTTTTCTTTATTTTTTTAGTTGGAGTCTCGCTCTTGTTGCCTAAGCTGGAGTGCAATGGCGCAATCTTGGCTCACCACGACCTCCATCTCCTGGGTTCAAGTGATTCTCCTGCCTCAGCCTCCCAGGTAGCTGAGACTACAGGCACATGCCACCACACCCAGCTAAGTTTTGTATTTTAGTAGAGATGGGATTTCACCATGTTGGCCAGGATGGTCTCAATCTCTTGACCTCCTTTATTCACCTGCCTCTGCCTCCCAAAGTGCTGGGATTACAGGCGTGAGCCATTGCACCCGGCCTGTGATTTTTTTTTTAAAGCTTAAGCAGACACATGTAAAATGAAAAGTGCAGTCAGTAAAATTGATCATTTAATTAACAGATTAAACACATATTAGACAAAGCTAAAGAGAGATTTAGGAATAAAAGAATATATGTCTTTTAAAAATTACTAATAATGAAGCACAAAGGTAAAAAAAATGAAAAATATGAAAGAGTAGCTAAAAGAGCTGGAGCAGAATAAAGTGGTCAACATATGTCAAATACATATTCCACAAGAAGAAAGTATAACGGAGAAGAGGCAATATTAAAAGATATAATAGCTAAGAATTTTCCAGACTTGTACAAAGATGTGACACCTCAGATTTAGGACTCATGAGTTCCAAGTAAGGTAAATAAGAGATCCATACCTAGTCAACTGCAGTGAAACTTCATGATACCACAGATAAAGAGATGATTTTAAATGAAGCCAGAAAAGTTAAATCATATGCAAAGAAATAATTAGACTGACAGCAGACTTTTCAACAGCAACAATGAAAGTCAGAAGACAGTGGAATAAAATATTGAAGGCATGAAAGAGAATTCTCTCCTAGAACCTAGAATTCTCTCCATAGCTAAACTATCATTCAAGAGTGAGAAAAATGTAAGACATTTTATATAACAGAAAGTATCTACTTCTAACATAGCCTTACTGAAAGAACTTTTAAAAGTTGTGCTTCAGGAAGAACACTGAACCCAGAAGGAAGGAGAAAGAGGCAAGAAGACAGGGTGAACAAAGATAGTGGTGAGCACATTGGTAAATCTAAACAGCATAGATTGTATAAAACAAAAGCAATTACTTTAAATGTCAGGAGAGAGGTTTAAAAACAAGATGTAACTGAAAAGAACAACAACTACACACAATTCAGAAGGGGAATAGCGTGATTAAACTCATATTAAAAAAGCTTTCTAGGCCGGGCATGGTGGCTCACGCCTATAATCCAAGCACTTTGGAAGCCAAGGTAAGTGGATCACCTGAGGTCAGGAGTTCAAGACCAGCCTGACTAACATGGTGAAACCCCGTCTTTAAAAAAAAAAAAAAAAAAAAAAAAAAAAGCTTTGGAAGAAGATCAGAAATAATAATTAATATTAGATTCTATTAAAGCAAATATATGTGTAAAACTACAGAGTAACCCCTAAATGAACAGAAGAGGAAAGCATAACTTTCAAATCAGTAGAAATAAAAAAGTGAACAAAGAAAATTGATCACACCAATAAAGGAAAACAATGGAGAAAAAGCATAGAAAATCAGAATAAATAGCACAAAATAAGATGGCAGAAATGAATAAAAATACATTGATAATTGCAATAAATGCAAATGGATTATTTGCTAATTATGATAGCAGTTGTCAGACTGGATTCAGCAACAACAAAATCTAGCTATGTGCTCTTATATGACACACATCTAAAACATAAATATATGCAAAGTTTGAAATTAAAAGAACAGGAAAAGATATATCAAAGAAATACTGAAATAAAGTTAGTGTAGTTACAGCAATATCAAACAAAATGGATTATATACAAAAAGTATTACTAGGGATACTGTTACTTTCTAATAATAAAATGAACAATTCTTCAGGAAAATATTACAATTCTAAGTTTGTAAGCACATAGCCTCCAAATACAGGAAGCAAAAGTTGTCACAAATTCAGGGAGAAATTGACAAATGCACAATCTTGATATGAGATTTGAACACCTCTTTAGCAGCTGATTGTTCCAAGGCAAAAAGATGGTAAGCCTTAGAAGTCATAAACAAAGTGATTGATAAGCTTGATTTTAAAGCTCTAACTAGATCCTACACCAATATTAGAATATATTTACTCTTATAGGCAAACATGGAACATTTTCAAACATCTATTGCACACTTGGCCACAAAGCAGTCTCAGAAAATTCTAAAAAATTAACATCACATACTTCATTCCCTGACTATAAGGCAAAACTCAAAAGCAAACTGGTAACTCACATAAAAGATTTGCATTTGGAAATTAAAAAGTACTTTTAAATAACCTCATGGATGGAAAAAGAAATCATAATGAAAATTTAAAAATATTTTAAAGTCGCAGCCATTTTCACATGGAGGACTGGCCAGCACAATTTGCCTTTAGAGGAAACTAGCAGATTCGTTTGGGAAAACTGCTGACTAGTTCACCAAAAGTCAATTCACAGAACGACCAGATAGCCAAAAGCCAAATATGGTGAAAGCTAAACCACTGAGTATCAATTTGCTAAACGACCAATTTAAATTATACTTTTCTTTTTTTTTTTTTTTTTTTGAGACAGGGTCTTGCTCTGTCACCCAGGCTGGAGTACAGTGGCGTGATCTTGGCTCACCGCACCCCCAACTCTGCCTGCTAGGCTCAAGCAATTCTCCCACCTCAGCCTCTCAAGTAGCTGGAACTACAGGGGTGCACCACTCCACCTGGCTAATTTTTGTATTTTTTGTAGAGATGAGGCTTCACCATGTTGCCCAGGCTGGTTTGGAACTCCCAGGCTCAAGCAATTTGCCAGCCTTGGCATCCCAGAGTGCTGAGGTTACAGGCAGGAACCGCCATGCCTGCTCCCAGCAAGGATTTTTTAAAGATGTGTTTCATCTCCTGCCTTTGTCTGTCCCCAGAGCCACCCAATAAACCCGGTTCAGGACTGGACTTCACAACTATTTTTTAACACACACACAGGGTTAATACAGATGTACCAGGTCAATGGTGCAACTAAAATTTGTGGGGTGGGGGTGCCAGGAAGTGTCTCCATAATTTAAATAATTGGCCATGCAGCAAATTTCATGTTGGTGAACGGCTTTTAGTGACTGATGGTCCACAAGCGGGTCAGGAAGCCTAGGCAGGAAGTGGAAGTTTGAATCAAAGAGGTGCCAAGAACCTGCACATGTTAAAACAAAGGTGCATCTTTCTTGAATGGAGATTTCTTTATGAAAGTATTCAAGGCAGGGGTCCCCAATCCACGGGCTGTGAACCAGTACCAGTCCTGGCCTGTTAGGAGCTGGGCAGCCCAGCAGGAAGTGAGTGGCGGGTAAGCCAGGGGAAGCTTCATCTGTAGTGACAGCCGCTCCCCATGGCTCGCATTATCTCTGAGATCAGCCTCCTGTCAGATCAGCAGGTGCCGGATTCTAGTAGGAGCCAGAACCCTGTTGTGAATGTGGGATGCAGGGTGAGCACTCCTTAGGAGAATCTAATGCCTGGTGATCTGACGTGTAACGGTTTCATCCCAAAACAACCCCTCTCCCCGTCTATGCAAAAATTCCCTTCCACAAAACTGGGCCCGGGCCCAAAAGGTTGGGGAACCCTGGTTTAGGGGATTTTAAAGTTTAGGGATCAAGGGCCGGAGGATGGGCAGTGGAAAGGAGCTGGGAGCAGGAACACATTACTGTGAGGAGCCTACTTCACTTCAGCACGGAGCTGGGACCCGGCCTAAAGCCCTGGCGGGGACTTACCCTGAGGGCTGTGGCCTGTAGGGCTCTTGAGATGAGATGTTGGACTTTTAAGTTTTCCCTTTTCGCGAAATGGGGCCCTGGTGATATCCCCAAGTCCTTGTTCGGTACACACGCCGGTGCAGCGTCTAAGGTGTCTCGGGTATGACCGAGGAGGCTTTGCCCAGGTGGGCGCGCGCCTTTCCTCGGAGACCGGGTCAAGGGGTGTCAGCATCGTACCCCAGAATTTTAGGAGGTGATCACAGCCGGCGCGGCTGCAAGGGCCAGCCCTGGGCGGCTGAGCTAGGAATTCCCTTTCCTTTTCTCCGATATTGCCCAGGCAGAGCGATCTGTGGGCCGCAGGGTCTGAACGGGCTTCCAAACCCAGAGCAGCGTCTCCTCTGCTCGGGACCCCAGCCTCCCCTTCCCCTCCAAGCTTCTGCTTGGCACAGCAGGCTTAGCCCCGCAGGCCCCCTTCCCGGAACCTTCTATAAAAATGACGGGGTCCTTCTGCAGACAGGAAAACGAGGCTCGCTGCGCCTCGCCCGCACCCGCGGAGCGCCCAGCTCTAGCCACGTCCGCCCGGAGCAGGCCTTCGAATTCGGTAAACGCAGGGGGAGGCGGAGGAGGGTGGGACCCGCTTCCTTCCAGCATCACACGTTTATTTGAGGCCTACTACGTGCCAGGAACAACTGGGGTTACCCCACCAGCAAAGAGGCACGCAAAATGTGACACTCAGGTAGGTCACGGCTGTGGCGAGCAGGGGCGCGGGCGACAGATCTGAGGACGCGCGGGGGCCTGGCCCGGACGGACCCTGGACCCCTTCCACTCCGGGTCGGGTTTCCTGGACCGCAGCCTCTGGGAAAGACGGGTTCCTTTTCATCCCCAGCATCAGTCCCTGGCACATGGGACGCGCTCAGTGCTGGCTGCTGGAAAGAATGGGTGATGCGCGGGGCTCACCAGTGGGCTTGCTCGCACGCCCACCGTCGGCCCGGCGGGTCTTGGCGCCCAACCTCTGCCCGCAGCTGTGGGCGGGAATAAGGGCATGGGGCAGGAACGAGGCCGCAGCCGGGTCCGCCTACCCCTCGTTTCCCTCCCCGCCCCTGTCCCCGCCCCCCGCTTCCGGGCCGGTGCCGCGGCGCCTTCTGGGAAGTGTAGTCCGCTCCTACGCCGGCCGGGCCGCCGAGGCTGGGGACTCAGGGCTGAAACGTGACCACCCACCAAAGGATGCGAGGCGCGCGGGGCGGGCTCAACGAGGCTGGGGGCGGGCCCGAGCGCGCTCATCCCCGCCCCTCCTCCGCGGCCCAGGGCCCCGCCTCCTCCTGCGCCGACCTGGGCCGCCGCCTACGAGGGTCGCGCGCACCCGCGGCTGGGGCCGCGCCGGAAACCGAGCAGTGGCGGGGAGGCTGAGGCCGGGGATGGCGCACAAGGTAAGGCAGGCGGACGCGCGGACCCCTCGGCGCAGTGCGGCCCCGAAGACTGCTGGGCCGGAAAGAGCTGGGACCCCCCCAACTTCGGGATCGACTGGGCGGGGCAGGGCAGGCCTAATGCTCGGGGATTCGTGCCGGGAAGTTCAGATCCTCGGACAACCTCCCTCCAGCTCTCCGCCCCCGGGTACCCACGTCCCAGTATCCACCTGGGGAAACCTCCTTGGCGTGGCTTCTGTCATTACAAGTTATCCCAGTAGGGTGGGCATGAAGGCCTTGGAAGGAGAGAGTAAATCTCATACTTCTATTCTTGGTGGAATCCTGGATCCCGGGGGGATGGGGATGTGGAAATGGGGAGAAACAGAAGATAGAACGAGCCCCAAGTTTTGTCCTGGACAGCCTCCAGGTAAGATATTTAGATCCGAGAGCTGGAGGGAGAGCCCCAGGTTGTGACAGCCTGGGCACCGTTTGGGCTGAGTTGTCTGTGGGCTGTAATGATGCCAGGAAACTCTGGTGCTGGTACCAGCGGGGAGCTGCTGCACGTCCTTCTGGATGGACACCTGGAGCCAGTTCTGCAACCGTGGTGGCTCCTGAACTTCGGCCAGTCTGAGGTCACCATGGATGGGGGGTAGTGTGTGACTAGGCAGAGCATACTCTGTGCCAGGCCCTTGGCATCATTAGTGCTCCCAAGCATTTGGGGAGAAGGGAGAAGCCAGGCAAATTGGATGTTGTTAGGCAGGGACGGTCAAGTGTCCTTTTCAGGGCTGGCTGCACAGTTAAGTAGCCCAGGGACACCCTGGCTGAGACATGCCTATGGCCCCATCCTAGGGCCTCCCCATACCACATACCACAGTTTCCTTTTCTGTAAAATGATGAGTTTGGGCCACTGACCTTTCAGATCTGATGTTTGGGGAGGGGAATATCCTCAGGCCATGTAGCTTCATGGAAAAGGTGGCCAGGAGTGACCTTGGGGAGTGGTAGGTTACAGTCAGGTGGAGGGGAGCAAGGAGGGCTCCCAGAAGCCCAGGGGGATGTGAGCACAGCCTCCAGGTTGAGGGGTCCTGGTCCAGGGTCTGGTCTGGGAGCCCGAGCCTGATACTCACTGGGAGAGCAGGTGTGGGCTGGGAAGGACCCTGAGAGAGGGACAGGTCCAGCAGCCACTGACGCTGCAGTTTTTGTGCTGGGCTAGTGACACAGTGGAAGGCTGTGTTAGGAGGACCGGTGTGCAGCTATGAGCTAGGAGGCTGCCGGGTTACAGCCCCCTGGATCAGCCCAGAAAGCTTTTCTCTATTCGTTGGGGAACAGAGGTGAAGTGAGGCCTCAGGAGGAAGTCTGGTGGTGTGTGGGCATAGCCATCTAATGGTGGCCTTCCTCCTCTCGAAGAGTGTTGTGGCCCAGTATTTGCACTCTCACACTTGCTCTCTCCCTCACATACAAAACCCTCACTCTTCCTTTGCTTTTTTTGGGCAGAGGGAGGCCACTGGCAGAAGCGCCTACCCTGGCCACAGTCAGTTCCCATTCGCATTTTATAAGAACTTGGTCTCAAAACAGTTTGCCTTGAGGCTGAGATGGTGAGAGGCCTGGAAAGCATCTCTTAGGATTCCTGGAAGAGCGGGGATATATTTAGCCTGGAGCGAGAGGCACCGGTGGTCAGGAGCAGTGTGTGGAAGAGCTCCGCTGGCGGGGCAGACCTGCGAGTGGGTGTTAGGCAGACAGGCCTAGCTGCAGTATTACTAATCATAGCACTTAGTGTTAATAGTCCCTGCATTGGTTCCAGGCACTCTTTCCATATTTGTTTTGTCTTCACAACATCTCTATGAGGCAGGTTGTTATGATCCTGATATTACAGGTGAGTTCACTGAGGCCCAGATGGATTAGGTTTGGCTGAGGCCTCATAACTAATATGAAACAAGGCAGGGATTGGAATTCTGGCAGCCTGGCTCCTGAGGCCAAGCCCCAGTCACCACGCTCTGCCCCAGCCTCTGGGTCCAGAACTTCTTAACGGCCACATCAGGCCAGCATTGGTACCAGTGGAACCAGCACAGCTGGTGTCGTGTTCTTACCTTGGGCTCAGACCTGCCTTGCCAGCTCTGTGTTGAGCCACCAAAATATGATGTGGGAGCCCTCTGCCTGGCATGAACCAAAATTCCAGACTCCCAGAAGGAAGGCAGGGGTGTGGCACACACCAGGTTGTTTGCACAATTTAGGCATCTTGAGCCACTCCCATCATTTAGGAAATAGTGGGAAGCCTCCTGGCACCTAAGTGCCTATAAGCCAGCCCGGGGCCCTCCTGCCAAGCAGGCCTTGCCTTCATAAGGACAGTGGTCTAGAGCTGCTCTGTGAGCTCTTCTGCATAGACCCTGGTGTTGGCTATATTTTCTCTGTTCCAAGACGCCAGGAAGAAATGTAAATGACTCTGAGAAAAGTTTTGGAGGGTGTCTGAGACTGTTCCTGAGAGGCAGTGACCGTACCTGGGCCAGAGCCACAGAGGTTTGCTCAGGGAGAGTCTGCACATCAAGGCAGGAGGTGAAGGCCATGGGATCTCACTGCCCATAGGCCTCTGGGCCGCAGGCAGGCAGTCACAGGAGGGACTGCCCCTTGCACTGGTAGGTGTGACTGCATGGAGCAGGGATGGTTTTGTTTTTTGAGATAGAGGCTGGAGTGCAATGGCGTGATCTTGGCTCACTGCAACCTACGCCTCCCAGGTTCTAGTGATTCTCCTGCCTCAGCCCCCCAAGTAGCTGGGATTACTGATGCCCACCACCACACCTGGCTAATTTTTGTATTATTAGTAGAGATGGGGTTTCACCATATAGGTCAGAAGCCACCACACCTGGGATGGTTTTTAGAAACACTGACTTGGGCGGGCGCGGTGGCTCATGCCTGTAATCCCAGCACTTTGGGAGACCAATGTGGGAAGACCACTTGAGCCTAGGAGTTCAAGACCAGCCTGGGCAACAAAGTAATATCCTGTCTTTATTAATTAATTAAAATCACTGCCCTGAACAGATGAAACAAGTGAATTATCTTTGCTTTATTGGGAGCGTTTCGTTTTCTTCAATAATTCGTTCTTACAAATAGTTTCACATTCATTTCTCAACACGAAGGACCCGTCCCGTAATTTACCTCCTGTTTGCTTAATTTGCACAGTTAATTTTTGCCATAATCTTAAATTCAAGCCTGTTGATGCTGGTCATTTTCTAGTGTCTGATGGCCATGTTAAAGTCCACTGAAGGACCATTTTAAAGACACTTAGACAAAAATGGTCCTGTTCTTTTAAAAAGCCACAGGGTAGGAGGAGGTGAGTACAGAGACTAGGAGATGGGGATACAGAGTGTAGAGGACCCTGGTGACCCAAAGCTTCCAAGGGCAGCCTGAGTTTCTTCTGAGCAATTCTCTAACCCGCACACAAACTAGGTGAACAACGCAGCGTGTTCTCTCACAGCTCTGCAGGCCTGGAGCCCCCACGTCACAGTGTAGGCAGGACCACACTCCCTGGCAAGGCTCTGGGCAGAATCCTTCTTGCCTCGTGGCCTCCGGTGGCCCTGGGCATTCCTTGACTTGTGGCGGCATCGCTGGAGTCTCTGCCTGTCTTCACACAGCCTCCTTTTCCCCGCGTGTCTGTCTCTGTGTCTCTTCTGATAAGGATATGAGTCATACTGGACTAAGGGACCCCCTACTTAGGAGTATGACCTCATCTTCACTAATTCCCTCTGCAGTGACCCTGTTTCTAAATAAGGTCCTATTTACAGGCGCAGGGGTTAGGACTTCAGAGTGTGTCTGCAGGGACGCAGCTCACCCCCAGCACTGTCTCCTGAGGGGATTCCTACGTGTCAGACCCTGCCCCGGGCTCTGGCTATTCTCCTGCTCCCCAGCGTGCACCTGGAGGCCCGGGCAGGGTCACCAGGTTCAGGGACAGCTAGGCTGGCCCCCCAGGGATGGAACAACCAACCCCCCCGGAGACTGTGCCTGCAGGTGTCCATCACCTTCAAGGACTTGGCTGTGCGGTTCTCGGAGGAGGAGTGGCGGCTCCTGGAGGAGGGGCAGCGGGAGTTCTACCGAGACGTGATGCGGGAGAACTACGAGACGCTGGTGTCCGTGGGTAAGGACGGGAGGCAGCAGCACATACGGCAGGAGCCGGGTGGGCGGTGGAAGGGAGGCCACGGTCCCTGGGATGCGGCAGCCTTAGTCTTTCCACCTGGGGATTGTTCACGCTGCTCCTGTTCTGCGTCCCTGGGCCGGGTTCTGCGTACAATTAGGTGGGGGTATGCAGTGGCCTCTGAGGTTCTGGCCACTCTGTGGTTCTTTGAGTGTAAGTGATCATGTGAATGTGCACAGACACGCAGTGGCCTGGGCTGCTCCACGGCCATGTGCAAGGCGGGGTCACTCCATTTCCAGGGCCACAGTTCCCTCTTCTTTCCCAGGGACAGCTGAGCTGCTCCCCCTCTCTGCTTTCCTGTCACCCTCAGAGCCTGGAGGAGCTGTTGGGGGAGGGAGCCGCGCTGATGAGGGGCAGGAGCCTGCTGGTTGCGGAGGTCCCCAGGGTAAGTGATCTGTCAGACTTCTCCTCCCATACACAGGTCCTCAGCCCCTGGCAGTATACAACCTCAGCCTGCCCAGTCCAGCCTCCCACCTCCCTGGCTCCCCTACCGCAGCCTCCTGGACTTCCACCCCTCATGCCTCTGGGCTGGAAGCCTGTCATGCAGAGAAGCACTCAGAGGAAGCCTGGGGTCACCCTGGAGAGTGCCTCTTGCCTCAGGCCTCCCACCTGCCACCACCCTGAAGCCTTATCCCAGCCACCCCTGCAGAACCTGCCCACAGCTCCCAAAAGTCCTGCCACAAGGCTCATGTCCCAAGACCTCAGATGGTGGATGTGCTCCACTGGCCCAGATTGGGTGAGGCTGGGCATTTAGGGGGTGCCGGGAAAGGCAGAGAGCCCAGATGGTGGGAGAGGTGTGGAAGCAGCCCGCCTGGGCATCCCCCTGGGAGGCAGGGAGATGAACGAGTAACAGAGAACAGAAGAGCCCTGTTACCCAGGCCCTGCCCCTTGCCCTGGCTTTCCCTTGGCCAGAGCGCCTGGCCTGAGCCCAAGTCCTCCACATCTCATGGGACACGGTGTCTCCTCTGGCTGCTCCTCCTGTGGCTGGGAGGATTACGTGGGATCCTGGCTGTGAAACACACACATAGGTGTGAGTGCTGAGCAGCCGCAGGGGCGCGGGGGTCACTGTGGTCTCTCCGCAGGGGGACAGCCCCATCACAGCCTGCACCTCACCGCCCTGGTACAGCTGGTGAAAGAGATCCCAGAGTTCTTGTTTGGGGAAGTCAAGGGTGCCATGGACAGCCCCGAGAGTGAGAGCCGGGGAGCCAGCCTGGATGGAGAGCGAGCGAGCCCCGAGGGTAAGTAGATAGCAGAGGCAGCACACACAGCCTCCTCTGCACTCCCCACGATGAAGCACAAGTCCATGGCACTGCACAGCATGCAGGCTCCCAGGTTCAGGTGGGGAGGCAGAGTCACCTGCTGTTCCTCATGGTCAGGCCATGTGCCGCCCTTGGAGCACACGGGCATAGCTATAGAGAGGGCAGCTCTGACTTTTTCATGGTGGTTTCCGTGTGGCTTTGTCACCCCCCCATGCCCCGTGGCCCTACTCAGAGCCCAGTGATGACAGCACATAGATGGCTGACATCCTGGTCATTGTTAACAACAGCACATGGCAAGGAAGGGACCCAGAATGTGACAGTGTGACCATCTTAGGGGCATCTTACTAGCTGTTGTCTTCTCCCTCTTTCCTGATAACAGCTGTGGCAAGAGAGCCTTGCCCTCTCCGAGGCCTGCTCAACTGCCTTCCGGACGGCCCTGCCAGCCAGTCCCGCCTGGCTACCACACCCACCGACAGCTCGTGCTCCAGCGGCCCACCTGGTGATGCGGTCCAGGGAAGTCCTCTCCCTACCAGTGAGTCTGACACAGCAGGGACAGGCAGAACCAGCACTTCAGGACCCCTGACCGTGGCATCAGGGGACCTGGAGCCTATGCCCTCTTCATTTTTTTCTAAGACTCAGTTCCCTTGTTGCATCATTCTCTTGTTGACGAAGTACCCCAGGGAGCAGGACATGTTTAGCCTCGGGTGTAAACACCAAAGAAGAGGCGTGATGCCCAGTCCCTGGGAGGCTCTCATCCTGCCCCGATCTCTGAGTACTTTGTACACAGAAAGCCTCCGACAGTTTCTAACATGCAGGCCCACGGCAGGCAACATTTGCATACTTGTGTGCCCTGGCCTGACCTCAGATCATCTCATCACAGCAACCCTATCAGCAGAGCAGGGCAAGGGGAGCTACTAGGATTTCTCTGGGGTCACATTTTATTTTTAACACTTCTCATAAATTTTGCATTTGTCTAACTTTTTATGAAAAATCATTCAGATTAATATGGAATAAAATTATCACAGGCGGGGAGGCAGAGTCACCTGCTGTTCCTCATGGCCAGGCCATGTGCTGCCCTTGGAGCACATGGGCATAGCTGGCGAGAGGGCAGCTCTGACTTTTTCATGGTGGTTTCTTTGTGGCTTTGTCACTCCCCAGAAACATACCCCATTGAGCTGTGGTTTCATCTGGAGTCCAGGGGTTGTTGGGCACACTTGCTCTGGGGCTCCGTGTGCCCTGGTCTGAGAAGCGTGAGTGTGAGATTGTGGCCTACATGTCCAGGTTGCCAGCATCACTTGCTGAGCCAAATTTGGAGGCTGGGCTCGGGGAAGGGTCTCGGGTATTCACAGTGAACCAGCAGTCTTACTGTTTACAGTTAAACCAGAGAGAACCAGGGAAAGCCCCTCAGCCCACCTGGAACAGGGACTTGGGCAGCTGGAGAGGGCTGTCCTCTACGGGGACCAGATCTGAGGTGACTCCTGGAGTCTGGAGCTGGGGCTAGAAAGGCCCTCCTGTCTTCTTCTGCAATAGGAACTGTCAACAAACCATGGCCTACGAGGAAGGAAGGCCCAGGAGCCCCTGGCGGGGAGCGCAGCCTTCCCACCCTTAGCCCCGGCGGGAGGAGGAGCCACGCAGAGCAGGAGAGAGGGACCTCGCAGGCCGGTGAGAGGCGGGCTTCCCTGAGGGGCATGGCGAAGGGGAGGCCTGTTTAGTTCACACGAGGAGGGCATGCTGCTCCCCGTCCTGGCCTGGTGGCAGCTCCACAGACATATTCTCATGGACGGGAATCTCAGCTGCCCGGGAAGACCTGAGTGCCTGCTGCAGCCCGGGGCCCTGTCAGGGCTGCACTGACCTCGGCCGACCTTGTGTGTGCCACAGGAATTTCTCCTGGGAACAGCCCCTTGCAAGGCCTCATCAACTGTCTGAAGGAAATCCTCGTGCCTGGGCCCCAGCACCCCGAGACATCCCCAACCTTCCGACCGCCTCTGCCCAGCCTGGGCACGTCCAGGCCATCCAAAGCAGAGCTGGGGCCGGGGAGCACACCCTGGGCAGGTGAGTGCTGGGGTCTCAGGCCGAGCCCTCTGAAGCTTGGTTTACGTTCCAGCAGCGAGTCCTCCCACTCCAAACTGTCACCCTGAGGAATTGTTACCAGCTTGGCCGCTGTTGCGTTGCCAGTGTCACCTCTCTGGAGCCAGGTGGCTCTCTTAAGGCCAGCGCTTGGTTAGCTGGGAAGGAAACTTGGAAGCAGGCCTTGCCCTGGTTTCCTCATGTCCTTTCCTCCTCCCGACCTGGGACCCGAGGGGAAGAGCTGCTCATGTGTCACTTTGCGTTGACACCAGGCATGATGCATGGGGTGTGCTTGGGCTCTGGACAGCAATGGTGTCGGGGCCAGGGCACGGTCTTGGAGTCAGACCCTGAAAGGCTGCTGACGTCTTGAGCCTTGGCTGTTCCCACACGCAGGGTCGCGGTGAGCTTAACCGCAGTCATGTACTTACTGTACAACCCCATCCTCCTCCGATGTAAGCTCTGCCCAGGACCCACAGGGTGGTCTCGAGCAGTGACCCTGACAGCCCACTCTGCTCAATTTGTCCTCAGAGTGATGCCACATGTCTGCCTTCAGGGCACCTTCTATGCCTTCCCTCTTTGCCCCATCCAGTTCTGGCAGGTGCATGGACCCAGGCACAGAGAAGACAGTGGCTCCCACGAGACTCAGTGAGCCACTGGAAGATCCTCATCTTCAGAGTTGGCCCTATGCCCTTCTAACTTGTCCCCTGTTTGTTGTTTGTCATGAAGGCTGAGGATACTGGGCTCCGGGTGAAAACATGTTCCTTTTTCCTTTAGTGAAAACAGAGGCAGCTTCAGGGGACTGTCCCCTCCAGGGTCTGCTGAACTGTCTGAAGGAGCTTCCCGAGGCCCAGGCCAGGCATCCCAGTCCCTCAGGAGTGGGGGACCCACGACTACAGGAGGATCCAGGGGCCTGGAAAAGGGGTTCTGGAGGTAAAGGCTTCTCACTGGGCTGGGAAGGCCCCCAGACGTCCTCCATGACCCTGCCCCAGGCAGGGCAATAGGTGGCCCCCACCATAGACACTCAGGCCCCCACACTGGCCTGTCAGGGAGTGGAGCCAGATGCAGGGGATCCCCACTGTGTAAATGGAGTGAGCTGTGTAGGAGGGGCTCGGTCAGCACTTGAGAATTCTCAGGCTGGCTCTTAGAGGAAAAGCTGGACGTTCCAAAAGGGAAGTGGGGAGGGAGCAAGACCAAGAAAGCGAGGATGGCGTTCTGGCCCAGCAGACATGCAGCTCATCGTTGTGATTTAGGGTCCCTGTGTGTTTGAGCCAGGTTGGCATAACTGAAATTTGGGGTTCCTGCTATGTGTGTGAGGGCTGGGAACCCCAAATCCTAATTATGCCTACCCAGCCCACACGTGGGTTCACGTTTCTGTGCATGTCACCTCAGCTTGTTACTTCTCAGAACAAAGCCCTGGGCAGCTGGGTGGAGTCAGGCATGCTGGCCATGGGGATGCTGTCCAGGGACTTAAGGCCTGGGAGAAACCTCGGAGGCACCCCAAGGGGCCGTGCTAGGGGAGGAGGTGTGTGACTCAGTCTCTCTGCTGCTGATTGACAAGTGACAGCAGTCTGAGCCAGTGACTGCTGTGGAGACACAGGGGTCTTGGAAGCCCCTCCTAACCCCTGACTTGAGAGTCAAGGGACTCTCAAGGCGAGTTCAGGCCTGAATCCTGGGCTTCCTAGTGGCCTCTTCCTGCAGGGTCTGGACACCTCCTGACCCCCCCTCCCCGTCCTGGTCCTGGAGCTGGTGGCCTGGTCTCTGTGAAGATGGAGAACAGCTGGGTCCAGAGCCCCCCAGGACCCGCATCCTGTCAGCCTGGCAGGCAATCCCTCAGCCCCTCTGCCACCAGAGACACCAGAGGAGTCCCTGGGGCTAGCTGGGGCCCTGAGGCTCAAGGTGAGGCCTGGGGTTGGCTGAGACTGAAGGTGAGGGGGTTTGGCTGCGGCTGAAGGTGAGGCCTGGGGCTGGCTGCTCCGGTGGTCTTTACCATGGGCTTGTCAGTCCCTGGCAAGGTTACCCCAGACTCCAGGAAAGCAGCTCAGCCGGGAGCTGTCCCCTGGCCTTCCTTCCCAAGCAGTGAATCCCTTCCTCCAGGCCCTCTTCAGCTCAGGCCCTTGCCCAAGCCCCCTGCCTTGGACCTTCACTTTGCAGTGATTCCTGGCCCCGGAAGCTGGCCCTGCTGGCGTGTGTCCCTCCGCACTCCCCTCCTATCTTCACGCCTTCCAGGGAGCGGGGTGGGATGCGAGAGCAGATCTGTCCCCCACAGAAGGGTTTCTTGCCTGGCGGGTCCCAGAGCCTGGTACAGGACTCATCACCCCTGCAGAAAGCACATCAGGCGCAGCCGCCACGGTCCTGATGGGCATGGGCAGGGTTGGGGTGTGTGGGAGGCAGTGACAGGGTGCTCTCCCATCCCAGCTGCCGGTGCCTCAAGCTCACCGCTGGAAGCCCTGGAAGCCTGTCTGAAGGGCATTCCCCCAAGCAGGCCATCACCTTCGCAGCCGCTGGCCACCTCTTGGTCACAGAACCCCCAGCCAGGAGACTGTGGGTCTCAGAGACCTGAACTGCAGCCCCACAGATCACATAGTGAAGGTAGATTGTGGCTATGGGTATGGGGTGGTATGTCCCTGGGCGGGCTGCAGAGGCAGATGCCGATGGCTGTGGGGTCATTGTCTTCCCCGCCCCTTGAGGCACAGGCCCACTCCTCTAGGTCCCCTTTCATTCTCACCCCTAAACAGCTGCCCGCATTTGATGACAGCCAGTGCAGATCTTCCTGCCCTACTTCCTTCTCAGAACTCTCCAGTCACACGAGACTTACTGTGGGGTTTCTGTGGGGAACATGCCGCAGGAGTTTAATCAGTACCTTAGGGAAACCCTAGTGGGAGGTATTCAGGACAGGGTCTTCTGGTGCCCGTGCACTCCAGGGCCCAGGGGTCTCTTCTCCAGTGAGCCCCCCGGTGACCACAACTGTGCTGTTCTCTGCAGAAGCGACCAGGGAGCCTGTTCTGCCTCTGGGTCTGCAGGGCTGTGTGAGAGATGGCCCTGCCCGGCCCCTGGCACCCCGAGGAACCCCCACCAGCTTTTCCTCATCCAGCAGCACCGACTGGGACCTGGATTTTGGGAGCCCTGTGGGGAGCCAGGGGCAGCGGCCTGGAAAAGGTGAGCTGGGCCAGCCCAAGGCTGGAGTTCATCCTGGGGACTCATCGAGAGGACTCAAGACATCCCCTGCCCAGTCTCTCTGGCTTGACTGGGTCAGACCCCTATGCCAGTGCTGGGAGCAGAGCCCGGGATACTAAGGCAGGGATACTGAGGCAGGAGCACAGGCCGGACTTATCTTAGGCGGGTTGTGGGAGCTGAGGGTGGAGAGGAGGCTCCGTTTTAGTGACTTATCTCAGGAGGGACAGGATAATGTCTAAGATTTCTTTTAAAATCTCTTTTTGGGTGGGCACAGTGGTTCACACCTGTAATACCAGCACTTTGGGAGGCTGAGGCTGGAAGACCAGTTGAGACCAAGAGTTTGAGACCAGCCTCGGCAACATAGTAAGACACCATCTCTATAGAAAATTTAAAAAATTATCTGGGTGGAGGGGCACATGCCTTTAGTCCCAGCTACTCAGGAGGCAGAGGGATCACTTGAGCCCTGGCATTTGGGGCTGTGATAAACTGTGATCACACCACTGCACTCCAGCCTGGGTGACAGTGAGACTCCATCTGATAAATAAATAAATATAAGTTTCCTTTTGCATTGAATTCCTTACCCTAGCCACAAAGAATTGCCTGTAGTATGAGACTGACCTCCAGCTTAGGAAAATGTACCGTGAGGTTCATGTCAGAGATACTTGGGAGTGTGCTTGGTGACCTGTGCCTCCCTGGTCACTCCAGTGGAGTCACTGCTGCAGACTTGGGGCTCTTGTGGGACTCTCAGCATCCCCTCTTGGCCTTCTTCTTTCCCCCACCCGAATAATCCGAGTCCTCTTTGTCTGAGTTGTCCTGTGGACCTAGTCCCTCTGCGCTCGCCTGTGTTCTGGCTGCAAACATATTTCTTGAACAGGCCTCTCGCTGCAGCCACGGCTCTAGCCAGGCCTGTGGGGCCTGTAGAAAAGGCCTGGGACCTGCCAGCATCCACAGCAGCCTGAAATCCCAAGCCCCACTACGGATTAACCCCTTGGGTGTGGGGCATTTTCCTCAAAATGCAACTGACTTCATAGGTAATATGATCACATAGCTTCATTCAAAAGCTAAAAAGGTTACGTGGGAAAAATGAAGTCGTCTTCCCTCGTCTGTCCTCCAGCCCCTCCTGCCACTGCTGTGAGTTCACTGCCCTCCTTCTCCTCACAGAGGGCAGCATCTATACATGTCCCCTCCAGTCTTTGTCATCAGCCTTGGTCTTTGACCTGTTTGTATACGTTCATGTTCCTTGGCCACCAGCCCCAGTTTCCTCTTTCGAACAGCAGCGTGGTATTCAGTAGCATGCTACCTGCATCCTGCTTGTTTTCTAAGTAACGCGAAGTGCAGGAAATTTCACACTGCCTTTCAGAAGCTTCCAGCCACCTCCCAGCTGCCTCTGTTGCCCCAGAATTCAGCGGATGTGCTGTGGAGACAATGCATGCGGGGGTCCTCTGCTTTCCACCCTGCCCTTCCAGCCCATGGACATTCGGAAGCTCTGAGGGTTGCTCTCTCGCCCTATGCCTGGGCCCAGAAGCATCAGCAGACACCTCCAGGAAAGAGAGCGGCAGCACTGTCTGCCCCGTAGGAAGGGCTCTCCTCACTCTGGCGTCTCAGTCCATCTAGTTCCCGTTACTCGCGTAGCTGTCATTGGAAATAGGATGTTTGCGGTGTGTTTAGTCCTTGCTGAGTTGAAGCTGCATATGTGTTGGCCTGTCCTGGCCCAGACGCGAGGGGGCCTGTGTTGTTCCCCTGCTGCGAGTGGTGAAGGAAGTCTTAGCGCATTCCATCTGCAGGGCCATCCCCTGTGCTGGCCACACAGGACGTGCCGACCCTCACAGTGGTGGCAGCTGGGTGTGCTCAGGACTAGAACCCGCACCTGTGGCCAGTGTCCTCACGACAGCCGCAGGCCAGGCTTCTGTGTGGGTGGCCAGACAGGTCCGGCTTCTTCCACGGCAGCCAAAGCAGGGCCACCCCAGAGCCAGGACTGACAAGTCCAGTGCTCTGTACCCAGCACCCCCGCGACCCCCCTTCCCTGGACACAGCAGAAGAGGGGAGGCTTCTGCGGCTCGCAGAGATTGAGCTACAGCCCTCCTCATCTGCGAACGCTTGCTCTTCACAGGAAGCCCACCAGGAAGCTCCCCGCTGCAGGGTCTGGAGAACTGCCTCAAGGAGATAGCCGTGCCTGTGCCGTGGCCTGCCTGGCCCTGCTCCTCAGCAGCAGACAGGGGACCAAGGAGAGCAGAGCCCAGGACCTGGACAGCAGACAAGGAAGGTAATAGCGGCTGCCGGGGCCCTGCATGTAGACAGGGCCTCTCCGAGGATGTCCTGGGTGCTGCACCTGCGGGCTCAGATCCCCACCTGAGCCAACATGGTGCTCTGGAAACAGGCCTAGGCAGAGCCTTGTTGGAGGCCAGAAAGCCAGATAGTCTGTTCAGCACACATGTGCAGACCTGCTGGCATCCGAGTGACGGGGACGGGGACACCTTGGCGCCACTCTCTGTGGCTCCACCGTCCTGGCTGGAGCTGGCTCCTTGAGGCTGGCTGTCCTTGTCCTGGCTGTGCTGGCCCCATGTGTCTTAGTGTCTGGGTACCAGTCTCTGAGCCCAGGGGTCCAGGCAGCTGGGTCTGGGAACAGAGAGGTTCTGGAGGGTTCGGGCGCTCCCAGGAACACAGCAGGGTGGGTGTTTCCCACTCCTGACGCTGGCGTGACTGAGAGCCCAGCAACAGCAGAAACTGTTCCCTCTCCCTTCTGTGGCAGTATGAGGCTGACACAGTGGGGCTGACAGGCCTTCTGGTTTCTCTTTAAAACAGGACCGAGGGCCGAGGCCTGTGAGTCAGCCCGTCTCGGGCAGGGTGGGGGAGAAGCGCCCACCCGGAGCCTCCATCTGGCCAGCCCACAGGTGTTCACCTCCAGCTGCGTCCCTGCCTGCCACCAACGGGGGCTCAAAGACCCCGGGGCCACCAGGCCACGAGCGTGGAGGTGGCTCCCAGAGGGTGAGCTGGCACCTGCCCTTGGTGCCGACAGCCACGCTTTAGTTAAAATGTTTGGCAAGGAAATAGACTTCCCCTCTCGGTCCCTCTGTTCCTTCCCCACGCCTCATCCTTTCCCCAGAGCACAGAAGCTGGTGCCAAACAGAAACTAAGGTTCACTAAACAGGAAGATAAAGTGTCACAAAGTGACAGGAAGTGGGGGCGGGAAGATCATTGTGTCCATCCATTGGGTTTCTCCAGGGGAGAAGCTCCTTGAGGGCTCCTGCTGTCCACTGCTGCTTCTTGGTTTAACTTCCAGCAGGATTCCTTCCTGGATCTGCTGCAGGGCTGGTGGGATGCCTTTGCTGAATACATGCGGTGTTGCTGACCCTCCTGCCAGATGAGGGCGGGCCCCAACCGAACCCTGCCCTTGGGCTCCTGACCCCTGTGAGATACTCAGGTGCAGGGATGGCGCCTTCCGGGGGGGGAGAGGCCGCCTGGCCTCTGAGACCTAGGCCTGGCTAGATCCTGACTGCTAATGGCTTCCAAAGACTGTGACCCACTGGAGATTTCTGGAAAGTTTGCCGGCAGACTTTCCAAAGCTGCTGGGGTCCTGGCCAGGCTCCGGCTTCACTGTTGTCCTACTTCTACGGCAGGAGAGGGAGCCATTTAGAGTCCCCCAGAACTCATGTTGGCTGTGGGCTGAGCTGAAAGGGGGCCGGTTCTGTGTGCCCAGACACTTAGGCAGAGGCCTGGCTCTCTTCAGGCTGATGACAGAGCACTCTCTGGTCCCCTGCCCAGGGCCTGCCCCCAAGCCCTCCCCGCTGCACTGTCTGGAGAGCGCCCTAAGGGGGATCCTGCCTGTTCGGCCCTTACGCTTCGCCTGCGTGGCAGGCACCAGCCCCAGCCCCAGCCCCGGCTCCAGCTCCAGCTTCAGCGGCTCTGAAGGAGAAGACCCGAGGCCAGAGCCTGAGCTCTGGAGGCCACTCCTCCAGGGTGAGCCTGTGCGGGGAGGGAGGACGGTGGGGTGTGTGCCAGGGCACTGGTCATCACTCTGATGCCAGCTTTGTTTGTGGTATTAGAGAGGGACCGCCTTCCCAGCTGTAAGCCGCCTGTTCCTCTGTCCCCATGCCCCGGTGGGACTCCTACTGGCAGCAGTGGCAGCAGCCCTGGTGAAGACCCCAGGAGAACAGAGCCCAGATACTGCAGCGGCCTTGGTGCAGGTGAGCCTGGAGTCTCCTGGGGGGCTGCCCGTGCATCCCCCAGAGGGCCAGGAGTCCAGACTGGATCCTCTGAGTCCCACCTGTCACTTTGCCTGGCTCTTGCCGGGGAGTCTTGTACATTGGCGGTGCTTTAGGTCCTTGTAGGGTGAGCTGTGACCGAGAGGGAGGGCAGGGGCTGCTGGTGTGCTGGTGAGCAGCTGCAGGGAGGTCTGGGCCACCCACTTGATACCACGTACACGGCATATACACTTGCTAATATACACACCTGTGTGTAGACAGATACGGATGTATTTATAGACTAATAATGTATGCTTTTAAAACTTGGCAGTCAACAACGAAAGTCTCAAAAGTGAGATTTCCCCACCTGGGGGGCATCTTGGAGAGTGTCGCATTAGGAAAGCTGGAAATGCTGCCTGCTGCCCGGGCCACCTGGCTTCTCAGTCTCACTGTGACCCACTGTTTGCTCCCAGCAGGAAAAGCAGAAGGTGGGACAGGAGACAGGTCCCAGTTGCCTGGGAGAAAAGAGAGTTTAGAGGGTGCCTGCTGGCCTGGCCCCTCAGGAGTGCTGGAGGACAAGGCGGAGGAGGAGGGAGAACCAGTGGCGGAGGATGGGGAGGAGGACGAGGAGGCCAGAAATGGCCAGGGGCGGGAGCTCTCCCCAACTCCTGCCTGGCTCCGTTACAGGCCCTGGCCCTGTTCTGTGTAGGCCCAGGCTGTACCACATTCCTCACTACCCAGTGGGCCTGGTGTAAAATGGCAGAGTGGGCTGGGTGTGGACCAGCATGCCCAGGATGCCCCCCCACGCCCTTGGAAGTCTCGCTGGGGCAGGACTCGCGGATCAGAAGATCAGAGCCCTTTCTCCCAGCTGCCTCCCCAGCCGGAGCCCCCTCCAGACAGGGCAGGAACACCACACACATGGACCACAGTGGGCCCTTCCACCAGAATTAGGCTCCCTCACGGGCCAAGTGTCCGTCCTTCCATCTCATTTCCTCGTTGTTTAAAAGTTGAGAGGTTGACATTCCAGGGGATGTCAGAATGGCTCTGGCCAAACGATTGCCTCCCTGCCCCAAGGTCTCTGTGCTCTCTGCAGGTGCAGCTGGGGATCCCGGCCCTGTTTCTCGGCTGGAGAAAAGGCCTGGGCCCAGGGTTAGTGAAGCATCCAGAGGCCTGGAGCCTGGACACGGAAGACCAAGAGCTGCAGGTGAACTGGTGGCTTCCCCGAGTCCCTGTGCATAGGCCAGGACCCAGAGTCCCAGCTTGGCAAAAATAGCCTTTCAGGTTTTGGGTCATGGGTAGGAAGGTTCAGGCTGCATATTTCATTTCAGTGTTTATTATAGAACCAGTTAGATTTTCATAAAAGCAGACACACCTTTTAGAGGTGGAAGTTGAGAAGTGATGAATCGAAGTTTGGGGTTTGAGGGGACTTTAGAGAATAGGTGAGGAAACAGGCGAGGATGACCTGGCCACGGTCATTGTGAGAACGTTGGCTCCATGTCACACACCTGCCCCTGCGGACCCATGGTGGAGACATACAGGGGGCTGGCACCTGGTGCCCTGGGTCCTTCAGGGACAGCCACACACCAGGAGCTTTCAGTGTGGCCTGCAGCAGGCACTCTTATTGGCTTAGGGTGTTGGCTTCTGTCCCAGCGCCACCGCTTTGCTGAGAGCTCTGAGCTGCCTGGGGCCACCGAGCCTCCTGTCCTCTGTATATGTCCTGGCTGGGGTCTCCAGGCCAAGAACTTGACCAAACAGCGGTTGGGTCCTTTAGCTACTCCAGTCTTCACTTTTTCCTGGGTTTAAAGCCCTGGACCGTGCTGGAAAGAGAAGGGCAGAGCCATAGCTGGGGGCTCAGAGAAACGGCGAAGATGCCATCTCTGCACCCAGCCTGGGACTGAGCAGAGTAGGAATGGCAGGGGCCTGGCCAAGCCTTCTTAGTGGTTTACCCAGGGTTGGGACCAGCTCCAGGGGAACTTAGGGTAAAGGATTAGGTGACCTTTTAAAAAAAAAAAAAAAAAAAGCTTCTGACTTAAAATCCTATGAATCTGTAACTTCTGAATAGGGAGAGTAAAGGCAGAGGGGGTGGGAACCCTTGTGATTTGCCTGTAGCCAAGAGCACTGAGTACTGGAGTGGCCCCAGGGTCACCCCACAAGAAATATGCAGGAGACCCTTGGCTGGCCTGGCTCTCCTGGCCCGTCTCCTGGATGGTCTGCACGGCCTTGGCCTCATGCTGTCCTAGGTGCTCTGGGCCCTTCTCACTGACTCCCAGGGCAGGGCTGCCATGTATTCTCATCAACAACACAAAGACCCCCCCCAATTCCTAGAGGGTAGGAAGACCCCAGTCTAGGAAAGCCTGGTTACCACGGAACCCAACCTGTGGTTATCCCGCCCATCAGTTTGGGGAACAGCCAGGAGACGTAGCCAGTTTTCACGTCATAAGCATTGGCAACAGTGTTCTCAGGCCCAACTCGCCTCCCTCCCCTTCTGGAAGCCGGGCCTTAGAGGAGGCAGGGTACTGAGCGCCCTAGTTCAGGGTACCGCTGGGGTGAGACAGGTCCTTACAGACCAGGAACTCTGACCGGTCCTTGCTCTGGTTTTAGCCAAGACGCATGGGCAGCTGCTCCCCCAGGGCCCGCCTGAGCCGCCCCGCGAGTCTCCCCCTCCGGAGCTGCCCCCTCTGGAAGCCGCACCTCCTGCTTTGCCAGCCGCATCCCCGCAGCCGCCGTGCCCCTGTGGGAAGCCCCTGCAGCAGGAGCTGCACAGCCTTGGTGCTGCCCTCGCAGAGAAGCTGGATCGGCTCGCCACGGCGCTGGCAGGCCTGGCTCAGGAGGTGGCCTCCATGAGGACCCAGGTGAATCGGCTGGGGAGGCGCCCCCAAGGCCCTGGGCCGATGGGCCGAGCTTCCTGGATGTGGACCCTCCCTCGGAGACCTCGCTGGGCTCATGGCCCTGGTCACAGACACCTACCCTACTGGAGGCAGAAGGGCCCCACCAGGCCTAAACCAAAGATTCTGCGCAGCCAGGGAGAGGGCTGCAGGGCTGGTGACCGGCCAGGACTCTCCAGAGGGACCACTCACCGGGCACCTCTGCTGCCTCCAGATGCTCTGCCGGCAGAAGCTCCAGGGCTCCACCGCAGCCCTTCCCAGCAGCTGCGGTCCCCCGCACCCAGCTGCCACACTGCACCAGCGGCACACTCCCTCCTGGGACATTCCGGGGGCCGCCAGAGCCCCCTTCCCCCTTTAGTGCCTGCTGCCTTACCCCTGCAGGGAGCCTCTCTTGCCACCAGTGCGGATGCAGACATGCCGAACTCGGGAGTGGCACCAGCCGGGATCCCAGACCGGCCCAAGGAGCCGAGCAGCTTGCTGGGAGGAGTCCCGAGAGCCCTGCAGGAGGAACTGCGGGGCGGGGAGCACAGGGACCCAAGGTGGGGGGCGCATTAATGGCATTCCTCATCCCCACCTCTGCTTATTCTTGCTGAGGGTGCAGTGGTGTCGTGAAAGCCCCATCACCCCACCCCAGGCCACCCTCTCAGGGGATGCAATCTCTCTTCCTGTTGCTGGGAGCCCCGCCCTTTGTCCCAACTGCGCAGATACCCCAGGTGCTGTTTGCTCGGGAGGCTGCCGTGGTGGTGCCTTGCTTAGCCTCTGTCTGGCCTTGGCTCAGATTCAATCCAACGCTGCCTCCCTCTCCTGTCCTTCCCACTGGAACCGCCCGAACTTGTAGGTGGGTGGTGTGCGCAGGCCATGTGCGCCCCACACATGCAGGGGGTGCCCCACACAGCTAGGGCAGCCAGGAGAATGCCTCCTGCTAACCACCAGCCATTCCTGATCCCAGGAGCCACCAAGGGCTGGGCTCTTGCCTTCTTGGGGTAACTATGGGCACAGATTTCATTTGGCAGAACTCGGGCCCCTTGGTCTAAGCTGGACTTACCCCTGTGGATTCTGAAATTAAAGAAGTGAGTAGCTAAGGAAGGGCCTGCCTCTCGTGTAAGGGAGCTCTGGGGGTCCACGCCAGGGCAGGGCTGGCTGTGCCACCACACGCTGCCTCCTCTCCCAGACAGCCTTGAGAACTTTCAAGAGTGTGTCAGGAAGGGTGGGGGAATTCCCACAGGACTCCCGGGGCACATACTCAGTCCCCTGGGGCTGCCACACAGAGGAGCCCTGACTGGGCAGCTTCAGCAGCAGCACTTGCTCTCTCTGTCCTGGAAGCCAGAAGTCTACAGTCCAGGTGTCAGGGTCGGTTCCGTCTCTGGGCTGCGAGGGGGGATCTGCCCTAGGCCTCTCCTTGCCTGTAGATGGCTGTCTTCCTGTTCAGATGGTGTTTTCTACACATCTGTCTCCAAATTCCCCCTTCTTATCAGGGCTGAAGTTGTATGGGGTTGTGGCCCACCCTAATGAGTTCGTTTTAACCTGCTGACCTCTCTAAAGATCCCCTCTCCAAGGGAGGTCACATTCGGAGGTACTGGAGGTTAAGCCTTCACCATGTACATTTGGGGAGGGGCACGGTTCAGCCTGTTAACACACCGGAAGGGCTGGGCCAGTCTTCTTGGGTTTGTCTTGGGAAAAGGCATGACCAGGTGTTGTTAGCCCACTTCTGTGCTGGTGACCGGAATGTGCCTTCTCAACACCCCCCTCAGCTGGCGCTTGGCGGTGCGTGGGAAGCAGCCTGGCTGCTATTCCCTCAACATCCTCCCGACAGGCAAAGTGCAACCTGTGTGCCCCAAATCCCTCATCTGACCTGAGGCGGCTTCAGGAGCTGTGTGTGCATCTGTTGCCTGGCAGGGCCAGCCTGGTGTGGGCTGGCACACTTGGCCCTGCCTTCAGGTCCCTGAGGAGCCTGGGATACCAGCACTGTGGCCTGGGGCAGTGCCGGCTGCCCACCTTGACTACAGGAGCAGTGCCTTGTGGCTGCAGGGCCCAGTGTGTCCCTAAATAAAGGGTCACTGGGGACACACCTGGAGCCTAAGTGCCCTGCAGCTGAGCAAGGGGCTTGGGAGCTGAAGCCCCTGCCCTTAGCCGCCCTGTGGAAGCAGCAGGGCAAGGACACCGGGCAGAGGGAAGTACCCGTGAGAGACTGAATATCACAAAGGGGCGGGAAGATGCTTTCAGGTCTAGAGTGAGCCCCGAGGTGACTGGAAACAGATCCTATGGTCATGCAAGTAGGATGTTTAAATACAGAGGCTTTTCACTCACAGCCGGGCTTGCACAGAATCGGGGAGAGAAAGGCTCTAGGCTCCCCCAGCCTGAGGCACTCTCCTTGCCATGGTAGTCCGGGAGCATGTTTCAGGGACACAGCAAGGGGTGGGACACAGTTTCACAGGAGAGTTGAGAAACCACCTGTGTCCTGACTGGCTGTGAGGAGAGGACTCGTGCCCACCCCTGCTGCAGCTGGCCCAGTCCCATCCTGCCTGCCTGTATCCCATTCTCTCCTTTCACTTCTATGCCGGGGCCACTGGGCTGTCGGCTCAGTGGGAGAGGCACCACCTTAACGTGGCACATTCAGGTGGTTTCGCTTTGCTGGCTTCACAAACAGCCATCACACAAACCCTAGTTGACAGGCACAAGTGAACAAATGAGTGTGGTAGCTTTAAGTGACTGTCACAGTTAGGCAGACGGCAACCAGCAGAGCTGGGAAGAGAGCTTGAGCCTCACAAGTGCCAGCACAGATGCCCCCTCCTGGCCGTTGCCTGCTAGGACAGGTGAGGGTTTTCAGGACAGCCTGGTCTAGGTGGTCCAGATGCAGTTGGACTGTATAATAAGTTTGAAATTGTTCTAAGAATGTGGATTTTAAGTTGTAAGTGGTAAGAAGTCCCATGGTCTGCAGCCACGTCCCTCCCACAGAAGCAGGTTTCTAGGTCTGGGTCTGTGCCCCACACAGAGCAGCTGGGAGAGCGCGCGCGCGCTTCTGACCACCAGCCATTCCTGATCCCAGGAGCCATGAAGGGCTGGGCTCTTGTCTTCTTGGAGTAAATATTGGCACAGTTTTCATTTGGGAGAACTCGGCTCCTTGGTCTAAGCTGGACGTACCCTGTGGTTTCAGAAATTAAAGAAGTGAGTTGCTGAGGAAGGCTCTGACTCCTGTAAAAGGGAGCTCCATGGGGGCCCACATCGGGCTGGGGCTGGTTGTGCCACCAGCAAGCTGCCTTCTCTCCCAGACATCCTCTAGAACATTCAAGACTTTGCCAGGGAGGGTCGGAGGAATTCTCACAGGACTCCTGGGGCACACACAGGATCTGTCCGCAGTCACTGAAACGCCTTCTAGCATCAGTGATCCAGTGGGAAATCTAGATGTGTGTAGGTCTTCGGTACTGTGCCCGTCTCCTTTAAGAACTGTACGTTGTGGCTTGGAAGAGCAAATATGGTCGCTTTGATGGGAGAAACTGAAGGACCTTTTTGAACTCAAAGGAGTGCCGGGGGTTGGGGTTGGGGACAGAGAAGGCTTCAGGTCTGCTCACCCCATCCTGGAGGGTGGCTGGCCGAACAGGTCCTGGCTGAGCTGGGTGCAACCTTCCCAGTGTGCCAGTCAGAGTTCCCCAGCAGGCAGCAACATGTGAAGGTTCTGCTTCAAAATACAAATGAATGGGTCCCTCCCGTCCCTATGATTTCCGGGCCATCCCCGGGAAACCTAATGAAAGGGAGGCTGGCCTGGGGGGGTGCAAAGACCACAGTTCACTGCTCCCTCTGAGGGTGCTTGGTCAACAGCACCGGGCATGCTGTTGCCCTTTGTGTGGATTTGTGTTCTGGATGTGGCTCCTATGCAGAACCTACAGATTTTATTCCATAAACCATCTTGACAAATTTTGCTCTTCACTGCGAGCCCTTAGTCCATTTAAATGTAATCGAATGACTGATCCGTTTAGTCGTGAACAGACCTTCTTGCCCTGTGTTTTTTTGTTTGTCCCACCTCTTCTGAGGGGCTTTCTCTTTCCTGCCTTATTTTGTATTAACACTGTTGTGGGTTTAAAAAATCATTCCATTTTTTCCTCTGCTGGCCTCAACATGTAAAGAACTAAAAGGAGAAACACATATATTCACAATCATATTTGGGAGGTTTTAGCATATCTTTCTCAGAAATTGATAGAACAAATCAGGAGAGATGTAGAAGATTGGAACAGGCTCCTTAACAAAACTGGCCTGATTGACGACCATACACAACAGCGCACCATGGGGCCGGGCGCAGTGGCTCACACATCTAATCACAGCACTTTGAGAGGCCAAGGCAGATGGATCACTTGAGGCCAGGAGTTTGAGACCAGCCTGGCCAACACAGTGAAAACCCTGACTCTACAAAAAATACAAAAATTAGCTGGGCATCGTGGCATGCACCTGTGATCCCAGCTACTTGGGAGGCTGAGACACAAGAATCGCTTGAATGTGGGAGGCGGAGGTTGCAGTGAGCCGGGATCATGTCTGCACTGCAGCCTGGGTAAAGAGTGAAACTCCATCTCAAACAAATAAAAACAGTGTGCCATGGGACTACTTAACACACATTCTTTTCAAGCATACACAGGACATTTACAAAAATTGACCATATAATAAGCCCTACAGTAAATTTAAATACATTTAAAATATTGAAATTATATAGGGTATGTTCTCTGACAATACTTTTACCTTTTAAGCTACAAGTAAATTATAACCAGAAATTCTTATATATTCAAAAATGAGAATTATGCTGCTAAAATAACACATGTGTCAATGAAGAAATCATAATGGAAATTAGAAATATTTCCCACTACTAAGAAAGTACCACAGGCCAGGTGTGGTGGCTCACACCTGTTGTCCCCAAACTTTGGGAGGCCAAGGTGGGCAGATCACTTAAGTTCATGAGTTTGAGACTAGCCTGGGCAACATGGCAAAACCCCATCTCTACAGAAAAATACAGACACACACACACACACACACGCAAATTTAGCCAGGTGTGGTGGCATGTGCCTGTAGTCTTAGCTACTCAGGAGGTTGAGGTGGGAGAATCACTCAAGCCCTGGAGGTAGAGTTTGCAGTGAGCCGAGATTGTGCCACTGGACTCTGTGTAGCATAAAGTGCTATCAGTACTTAGAAATGTATAGACAAAGTGAGTGAGTATGTGGAAAAGGAAGGACAGAATTCACAAGGAGATACAAACAGAACAGCAAAGGAAAGCCAAAGAAAAGTTAACAAGGGCACACAAATATAAGAGCAGAAATTACTGAAATGGCATACATGTAAATGATATAATCAACAAGGGCAAATATTGTTTCTTTACAAAACTAATAATATTGACTACTAGCCTGTGATGAAATCGTCAATGAAAAAAGAAAGCACGAATGATCAGTCCAGTCTCAGAAATGAAAAAGGTGACCTTACTGCAGGTGGCTGCAGGCTATAGGAAGACAATAAGATTATATTATAAGCAACTTTTTGCCAAAATGCTAAAAATTCAATGAAAATAACTCCCACAAGAATACAACTTAAAACAGACTCAATAAAAAAAAAGAAGAAAGAAAACCTGAATAGTTCCATCCCATTGGAAAAAAAATGCGTTTTGTAAGATCAAACATCTTCTTACAAAAGGAACTGTAGGACCAGGCACAGTGGCTCATGCCTGTAATCCCAGCACTTTGGGAGGCCAAGATGGGGAGATCACCTGAGGTCAGAAGTTCAAGACCAGCCTGGCCAACATGATGAAACCCGGTCTCTACTAAAAAATAAAAAATATTAGCTGGGAGTGTTGGTGCATCCCTGTAATCCCAGCGACTTTCGGAGTGGGGAGGGGGGTGAGGCAGGAGAATCACTTGAACCCGGGAGGCAGAAGCTGCAGTGAGCCGAGATGGCACCATTACACTACAGCCTGGGTGACAAGAGTGAAACTCCCTTGAAAGAGAGAGAGAGAGAGAGAGAGAGAGAGAGAGAGAGAGAGAGAGAGAGAAGAAATTATTTCAATAATGTACAAACTATTTCAAAGAATGGAAAAATATGGGACACTCTCTGACTCA